TCAATAATAAAAGCTATGCCATTGCAACAGTGATGAAAGAAATGAGCATAAGTACGTGGTCTCTTGTGAAAGTAAACCTGCATCATTTTCTTGAGGTGGTTGAAGTGGGTATTTAAATAAGTACGTTCAATTTAGAGGTTCTAAAAGCGATAATTGCTAAATGAGGGCATAAAAATTGGAATATGAATCAGCACATCTACATCTTTACGCTTAAAAATTATTATTATCAAACTTAAATTGAAAAAACAGAGAAATGTGAATAACAATGTTCACTTTAAAAATTTTTGGTTGAAATTTCCGGTACACTTCTTGGAAATTTTGATCGCAATGTACTGACATTTCAAGGAATTTCGCCATTGAAAATTCTGAATTTCATGGAAAAATGAATGAGAACTGTAAATTTCAGTTCAATTATTCCCTGAAAATTAATCAATTTTCAATTAATTACTAATTTTTAATTAATTGAAAATTCATTCAAATAATCAATAATAATCTTTATTCATTGTAATTGGGCACTGAATATTTAGGACTGCATTGAAATTTCAATGCAATTCAAAAATTTATCATTTTTTAAAATTTTATTCAATTTTTAGTGAAATATGGAATTTCATGATTTTTCCCCGTAATTGCATTCAATGTCATCATACTGAAAATTACTAGTTAACTGTTCATGAAATTTCAAGTTTTTCCTAACAGTGTTGTGGGAGTTTATTGGAGCAATGAATAATTAAAATTGTCCAAGCACAGCAGGTGAACTAAATGAGCGTAAGTACGCATATTATTGTTAAATTAAACCTGCATCATTGCCCTTATTGATCCTTCCGAGCGCTTCACATATTCTAGAAGCATTGTCATTTACGATGCGTACAATCCAGTGACATCACAGTGATTGAATTAATATTAAATCATTTCGCGAGGATTATCGCCGCCAAAGCTATTTTGATGGTTTTCGGAAATGTATTTGCGAATCTGTAACCACATCCACAACCCGATCGCAATTCTCTGGATTTTGTATATATGTGCACGAATTTGTAGTCACAAGTACACTGATTGTTCGGGTTTCAATAGATTCCGAGATTGATTTTCTTATGGCATAGAGCGCTACCCGGCATTACTTATGCCACTTTGTGACGTTATGACCGAAATACCAGGTTTCAAAACGGTCTAATTTTCAATAAATTATTATAAAATATCTAAGCAATATTTTTTCGCTTAGCTATCTATGGGTATTTAAAAAAAGTCAAAATATTCATTTTACCCCACCCTACACTAAGAGAAAAACGCCAAAGTTCTCAAACAAGTCTTACTTGTGCCAAGAATAGTTTTTTGAAAATTATCAAAAAAGGATTTTTTGTGCCAAACATGCAGAGAGTGCGCCGGAATGAAAAATTTTTGTCGTAAAAATCGATTTCGTAGTTCAAAAAAAATTGGATTCTCTGTACACGCAAGAATTTTCTTTTCTAGCACTACCCCTTCGTTATTCGATACGCCCATACGTATTTTGCTTCAAAAAATCTTTGTTTTATGCGAAACAAGGAATAGTAGTTTTTCGTTTCGGCTGTTTAATAATCACATACAAGAAATTAACCCTTAACTGAAAGAATAATAATATGATAAACAATAATAATTGATAAATCTTCCTCTATATGAGATATTGTCATCCTGAAAAGGCACCATCTGGTGTGAATTATCCGCCTCTTGAGCCAAATATTTCGTTGCTGTCGAAAGCACAACAATTATTCATGTTTGAGACTTTCAAATTCGAACCAAACAAATTATTTTTTGCCAATTTTCAACTAGCGATTTTGTTGGCCCAAACGAGACTTGTTTGACAACGTGTTTATTTTTCTCTCAGTGTACCCTATATACTAGTGCCAAGAAACTACTTGAATCATGACGTGTTTTGAGTGCATGATGTACCACAAAAACTCCTTAAGGGGGAAATAGGTTTAGACGACTCAAAAAAATGATTTCTTTTCAAATTCCATAACCTGTGAGTAAAACTAATCAAAATTCACTTAAATATATGTATAAAATGTCCTCAAAGCTTCAATAAATTATATGCATTCTCTGCCCCCTTAATCGAAACTTGGCATCATTAATTTTAAATAAAACCCCAGACGAAAGAAAAAAACATAAAAAAATAAACAACAGAATTGTGGGAGTTTCCTAGATCAATGACTAATTTCCCACAGTTAAAAAAGAAAAAATAACTCACCAGTAGAAGAGAATAGCCATGGATAAACGATAACCACCATCTGTCATTCCGCCGGGTCTAACTCAGTTACTCCACGCATATCAAATCGCATAAGTGACTGTGGGGTGAGGTAAACGAGACACTGGTATTCTGGCCGGCAAACGTTAATGCGATTTGGATACGTAGAGAGTCCTTTGGGAGATTGTTCCCAAGTGTAACACACTGGTATATCTTTCCCTCAATGAGATACCATAAATGATGATATGCATATGTAAATATTGTGACTGAGCGTTACGAATTGGCTCATCGTGCCACCCTTCCTCCTCGAGCCCTACATTTTCCACAGTTTTCATGAGTCCTTGCGTGCAGAGCTGGACAAAATAATGTTTGAAATACTATTTGAAAATTATTTCTATTGTCATAATTGTAATAATTCGATAAAGGAACATATTATTTGAAATAATTCATCGAATTTTTGCGATTATTTCACCACGAGAGATCAATGTAGGTGATAAGAGATAGAATAGGGAAATATTCATACGAAAAAAAACTGTTTCATGTAAAACTAGATAGTGAAGTAATGAAATAAAATAGTAAATACTATTTCATTTTCTGTTTCGTTGAAATGCAATATCAAATGACCATTTTATTTCAATTTCAAAGAGACATAAATAAATACTATTTGATCGACTAAAATAGTCAACTTGAAATATATATTTGAAATAGTAGTTCATCGCTCTGACCATTTGGAATAATATTTCTATTTAATGTTCATAAAATAGTGCGACACGTATGAACAAAACCAATAGAAAACGTCGCGAATTCGCTAAAAATTCTATTTGAATTCTATTGAAAGATTCTATTCTTTTTTTTACGCTGATTCTATTGGATATTCGATAAGAAAAAGTGAATAGATTTCGCATTTCTGTTTGAATATTTCTCTTGAGATTTTTTTTATAAGAATGCTTGGGCATCAATTTTCTAAGTTTTTCCACTTGGATTCTGTAATCCAAAAAAAAGTAAAACTTTGAAAAAATAGAAAAAATCTCACGAGAAAAATTCGAACGGAAATTCACAATACATTGACCTTTTCCCATCAAATATGCAATAGCATCAGCGCAAAAACAAGTAGAATTTTTCAATAGAATTCCAACAGAATTCCTATAAATTTCCAATAGAATTCCTATAAACTTCCAATAGAATTTTCTGCCCTTCGGCCGGAAAGCGTCAACTTCCTGGCCGCTGCGCTAAACGAAGTTGCCACTTTCCGGCTACGTCGAGCAGAAAAATAGTATACACATCTTGGCCAGTAAATAAGAAAGCCTCAGATCACATGTTTCAGATTACATGTGATCTGAGACATTCCTTACTTTACTGGCCAAGGTGTGTAATCTACTATTTCTAGTAAATTCGCTATTTTGGGTGAGGAATACGGGAGAAATACAGAAAAAAATTTATTCTTATTATTCTGGAGATATCACGCTCATAAACCCCGAAATTACCATTTTCTTTCGCTTCAGCGCGAAAACCGGAATCCTGCCGAAAAAAGTAATGGAAAAAAAGACTGGAAAGAAAATTTTTAGTCAAAAACGCAGTCACCTAAGGTAGTATCACCCTTGTGCTCCTAGCGAGTCTTTTTTGTGACCCTTGTGACCCTTGTGCCTTTCCTGAACCTAGACTTCTTTTTTGTAACCCTCGTAATTCTTTCGATTGGCCCTCCCCATTAGCTCTTCCTCTGCACGAAACTGGATGAAGGTAGAATTTTAAAAATACTTTTCCCGTATTCCTCACCCAAAATACTACAGAAATCAACTGTCAACCTACAGTGCCACGGAAACCGGAATCCTGCCAATTTTTTTCATGCGTGCCAGTTCTGCTTGCGTGGGAGAAAACTGTGAAACTCACAGGTAAACATTTTTCCTCTGCACCTATCATGCAGGGGCAAGTGTCCGGCAAATTTTGGGTTTCATGGCGTGCAAATTTCATGGTGATGCTCGGTGGATTGGTTATGCCGGGATGATCCCGTTAACAGGATCAGAACTCGTGCGAAACGAAGGGTTCTTCATTATTAGAGACTCCACAGACCGCCACACGCTTCTCATCTCCTCTGGGACACGATGAGTTGCTTTCCGAAAACGTGAAATCTCTCTCGCCTCATCTCTCCCTCTCTCTCTCTCTCTCTTCGTGGAGAATTGTTTGTACAACCTGTCGGCACAATGGCGAAGGGTGGATTTATCGGCGTTGTTCATTTGCTCTGAATCCTCCCAGAATTGTTGACGTAATTTAATGTACATATTGACAGGGTTCTTTGTCCCATATTCATGAGACCTGGAGGAGAAATAGGAGAGCCTCATTGGGATGATTTTTATTTATGAATGAGAGAAACACTTGGACGCCGCTTGGATGACTGTCGAGCACTTGACTTCTTGTGTCAGTGTTTTTGTCTTTGTATGGATCTTCCTTTCTTTGGAAGGCACTAATGATTTGCAAACACTGCCCTGTAGCGTGTGAGCCATTAGAACTTCTTTTTGCTGAGATGTTAGATGGGAAATGAGAGACTACGACCGCCGTTTGAATTAACGAGACTGCATATTTAGGGCTTTCGCGTCTGCACATCAAGGGAATTTTTAATATTCAATGTTAAGTCGGGGGATGAACTTCTGGTGCTATCTTCAGGCTTGATTGCAGACTTAAACTCTCTGCACTCAAACCGAATCTCGACTGTCGGTAAAGGTGAACTCGTATCTGAACGCAGATGCACACTCGCACGCACACACGCACATGTCAAAATATTATGTTTGGATTGTGATGATACGTAACAGACGTACGAAGAGTATTAATCGATCTAATTAAAGGAGTAATAATTGATTTATGTCGCGTCAGTTTCAAGGAGCGTTAGCAACTACCTCGGAACCTTCTCCCAGTCCCGGTGTATCGTATCTAACGAAAAATTTGAATGGTTGTGAATATTACAGCTGCACACAGTGTTCTCTCGTATCGCTGGACCAAAATGCAATCGAACAACACGTACGTGGAGACGATTCTCCCAATAATTGCCGAAAGAAATCGAAGTTACAGTGCTTTGGATGCGCGAATATATTCTTCGCGGAAGATTCGTTGTTATCGCATGCCATACACGACCATCAGGTATTCAATCAGTTTGTTGTTCTGAGATTAATTAGGAGAATTCAGGAATTTATTTGGACGTGTCCTAGAAGAAAAGACCTATCTGGGGAAATCTCTTTGAGAAAAGCTATCCGAGAACTCTGTTCCAAACACCCATGTTTCAATATTTTGATTTAAAAATCTGTAATTCAGCTTTTTGCAGCTGAATGCAATCACAGAAGACAAATGATAGAGAATAAAGATGAAAATGAATCGAGATCTACAAATGATGGTCACGAATAATTTGTAATCAAATTTTGTTGCTCAATCATTTAGGGGAGGTTGGGGTAAAACGGACACTTTTGACTTTTTTAAAAATGTTAATGAGGGGTTGAAATGTTGATAAAATTCAATTACTTTTTTTTCAATATAAAGAACAATTCTTTCCCTTTGTGACGAGCCTAAATTGAGCTCAACTGATAAATTTGTTTCTGAGTTATGAATAATTTTAAAAAAGTCTAAAGTGTCCATTTTACCCCACCCTACGCTCACAAATAAAAGAAGTTTCATCTAGGGAGATGAAAAGTAGCCGTGATTTTCATTTCAAAATGCACATTAGGCAGAGTTCTTATTTGTTTTTTTATTCACAGCAAATGAATAGTTTTTTAAACAGACATCTTTCCTTGATCTAAATAAACACTATTAATTAGAATTGAAATCATTGTTTAGGCGGCAAAGAGAATGAATGTATTATCATGTAATCATGCTCAATTGATTCTGATAGAGGCTTTATTTGAGATTATTGACTTGAAATTGGTGAATTATTCATTTCACATAATTAAAACATTTAAATAAATTTATGAGATGATCAATCTCCAACGAAAATATAGTCGGAATGAGCAGAACAGTTTCAATTAGAGAGTGTTAGATGATTCAATTACGTCATTTTTTTGGGTGCAAGAGTTTCCTATTCATTGATCAGGTTGAGACACTGCCATGATGTAGTATTTAAGAGGAAAATTCTTAATTCCTTCAACTTGATTAATTTCCTCAAACTGTGTCTAATCAGAGTTCCGTTGAATTCATTTTTTTCAAACCTAGTCAACTTACATTATTTTAATTTGGAATATTCACATACATTTATTTCAAATGAAGTTCTGAGAATTCAATTCCAAGGATACATTACAAATTTATTTCAATTATATGACTTGAATTTATTTTCAGATGACAGAATCTTGCGCAGCAACTTTGATCAGAAAATTGAATGTCCACAATGAAAAAAAGAATTCAACTGAACAGAGTGGAATAAACAATGAAAATACAGATATCAAGGCAGTGAGTGGCATAGAGATCCCACAGAAATCATTCTTGCAATCTTCGAAATCTGATGTAATCACTCGTGAACCTGAAATTGATAATCGAAGGCTAGACATTTCGATTCCCCTCGAGCAAGAGATTATAAATGACTTGAATGACTGTGAAAATGATTCTGATGAGGATGAGGACTACAAGGCTTCAGAAATACCCAAGAACTGTATAGAGAAGCAGAATTCCAGAAAGAAGAAGGATGTTAGAGTTCTGGGGTTTAAGTGTGGGACTGAGAGCTGCAATGTTCGTCTGCTGGCAGAAGAGAACATTTCGTACCACAAGAAGTGTCACAATGCTGAGGCGAAAGGAGAGACAGAGGCCTTCAGGTGTCCAGAGTGCCAAGAGTTCCTTTCCAACCGTTGGAGCACAATGGCTGGTCATTTGTGGCGGTCACATCTAGTTGATATGGAGCTGCACACCTGTGACTTGTGCAACTACAAAACTCCTAGTCTGAGTAAATTGATTCATCAGCATCGAGGGATTCATGGAAATGAGAGGCCTTTTGTATGTGAGTTCTGTGGGAAAGGCTTCAAGACTTCTAAGCAATTGAGGTCTCACAAGACATCACACAAGTCAGATGATAAGAACACTTTTCAGTGTGACAAGTGCCAAAGAGTATTTAAGACTTGTAGATTACTGAAATTACATGGTAATTCAGCGCATAAAGACTGTAAACCGTTCACTTGTAATTTTTGCGATTACTCTGCTGCTACGAGGAGCGGATTGAAGCTTCATTTAAGGAGACATACAGGTAATTGGTTGAATAATTCAATAGGATAAAAACGGGATGAATGCATTCTGGGGAAATTTTTTCAATCATTTTCATTATTTATTGCTCAGGTTTTAATTTTCTGTGTGAGAGAGATGAAGCGATTTAGGAATTTGAATAAATTTGGGGAAATGTTCCTTGCGAATTTTTTATGTCTAGACGGAGGCGTAGTGGTGACTACCACACAGTTATAATGTGAATAACGTTGATTATCTACAAATTTTTCCAAATTTCTCCAATTCATTTAATTCATAAATTTAAGGATTAAACATCTCTACATCCACACTATGATCTGTACAAAATCGTAAAAAGTACTTGGATATCCATAACTAGACCTGACGAAAGGCTAAAATTTCCATGTTTCACCACTCAACTATTGAATCGCATTTCTGCATGGTGGTTCAATGGTCAAAAACTCTTCAATGATGTTCAATCCATTTTTTGTTCGCAGGAGAAAAGCCTTTCTCATGTGATCAATGTGCCTACTCCACTGGAGACCATAACTCTCTAAGAAGACATAAATTACGTCACTTGGGATTAAAACCCTATAATTGTCCACACTGCAGTTATGCCTGCATACAGTCTTCCACGTACAAAGTTCATTTGAAGAACAAACATCCAGGTAAGGCGAAAATGAACCTGTTCGTTTACATCTTCACACAGAAAAAAGTTTAGGTTTCTAAGGATCTATTCCTACATTTAATGAGTAAGCTAAACAATTTAATGTATCAGGAATCCGGAAATCCAGTGACTTGTCAGTAATTTCCAGTCACATGATCTAAATATTCCGTTGGTCGCGGTATGAGCGCCGTGTCGTACTTTTCCCGATTTTTTAAATTACACTGTAGTAAAGTTCCAGAAATATTTGAGAAAATTTGACGTCTCATTGTTAAGTGTCTAGATACCCTATCAATGAAAATGTCCGGCAAAAACGTTATAAGTAGTTGGATTTTCAAATTTGAAAACCGCTACTTAACTGCAGAACTTTTGAACCTCAATAGCTTTCAAAAGAAGAAAAACGTTTTCTCAAACAAGAGTCTTGTTGGAATAAAAAAAAAAAACGCTAGTTGAAAATTGCCAAAAAATATAATCTAGTGCTGACCATTTGAAGTCTGGTCCCTAAAAAACTATTTAAAAAAAATTTATTCATCTCTTTGGTGTTACAAATGTTTTTCTTTGTTTTACACATAATAAAAAACTAATTTTCTCCTTTCACACAAAACAAATGATAAAATTGTAACTGTGATATTATAGGTCTAGATGAGGGTATAATGTTCTCCTGCCAGTACTGCCCCTACCGAACGTTAAAACGAGAAAAATTATTGACTCATATCACGAAGCATACAGAATTCTCAAGAGATGGCACACGAAATGCCAAAGATTGAAAAAAAATGTAGAATCAGTCCAATCGTGATTTATTATCATCTGCGGATTTCAACCGAACATACACAGTGAAAAAATCTTTCTCATTATCCATCTTTCGAGCTCTGCTGAGTCTCCATCCAAGTTCGTTCAATTTTCCATCGAAGGGCAGTGGATCTGTGCAACGATTCTGATCTTTATCAGGTCCAATGATGAAGATTACTCTGCCAGAGTAATTTTTCATGTAATCGTAAAAAGCATCGCCATCATTGAAATAACAAAATAACATCGCGTAGTTGGATGGAATGTCAACAGTAGAATTATCTTCACTGATAAACATGATTTGGTTCAGGTACATTGTGGGTGAGTACTTGCTCTGCCACCAACATTTGTCTGCTTCTACTCCAATTACGTCGCATTCTTTAATTCAAATTCAATTGGACTATTTCATTATCGAATTCAGTAATGCAGTGATGAAAAGAGATAACTCTTGGATAAACAGTAAATTATTTTATAAATATCTTCGGAAGGAGGAAATTCTAAAGAACGTTATTAAAGGATCTTTGTCGTAGAGAATTTCAGGAGGTTTGGGAAGGTTTGGGGAGGTTTGGGAGCTTTTTCCTCCAAACCGTTTGGTTTCAAATATATTTCAAGGAATTTTCATTTTCTTTGCGATTAATTTTCTTTTTAATTCAAAATTCATCAATTTAAAAACTTAAAATTAAATTATTTTACGATCTACTTCAGTAACGCAATGTTATCATGAAATAACTCTTGAACCATTACGATGATTTTGAAAATATTCCTTATGTAAAGAAATTATTGAATTGTAGAAAAGACTTTGACTTCTTTCCATAAATCCACGAGTTCTGGAGATTTTTTTTTCAAAATAATGAGATGCATAATTCACCTTCTCTTGCAATCAATTTAGAAAAATCAAATTGAAGAATCTCATTACCGAATGAAGTAATGTATTGATAAAAGAAAATAATTCCTGAAATATCCGCCAATTATTGCGCAAAAATCTCTGTAAGCAAGAGATCCAGAGAAATTAATCAAGAGATCTCTTGAGAAAATTTAATGAATTCTGAAAAGTTCTCAGAATGATTTGAATGAAATTTTTGAACTCATCTATTAAAGAGTCAATCTGTTGCATTTTTTACATAATAAAAAGTGGTTTTATCTGACTTACTAGTATACTGTTGTATAATCCACTCTAATAATCCAGTTCCGCATCCAACACTGATGATGCCCTGCACCTTGTGCTCTAGTATAGTCCCCTTGATCCATTCCAAGTCATTCATAGAGGGCCAAACCCACAGAATCCTCCAAGCTTCGTAATTCCAACTTTTCCCAAAATGAATGATATCCTCCCATTTCCCCTGTCTCCACAGGGAAGTAATCTGACTCTCCACCTCGTGATCATCCATAATCGCTGAACACCCTGCAAAACGCCTAGCAGCTTTGCATACTCGTTAATACTGATGAACGAGGGTCAAGACTATCGCCGAAAATAGCTGAAGGCAAAATTAGTGATTAGTTTTTGGCATCGTGACGTAAATGGAAGCTGCCAGAATTCCTCATTCAAGTTTTAAGCCTATCGTAAGCGACGGGCTATTCAGAACTCTCAAAAGTATGTGGAAAAAGTGAAAACTGAAAAAGTTTTTTTTTTTTGCAAATTTTCAAAGGGTCAGATTTCCCGTTTTTCAAACAAACGCAAAACGCAAAACTCAATTCTGAGCCGTCCATCTGCCTAAAGGGAACCCAAATTTCCTCAGGAATCGAATGGAATAGGTTTTAAGGCTCTGTCTCTCATAGTTTCCGAGATAATCGCGAAAAACGAAAACGCCAAAAAAAATTAATTTAATTTATCTTGTATAGGGTGTAGGAAGTGGAAAAACGCAATTCTGAGCCGTCCATGAGATCCGATCAATTAGCCCCTCATGTATAGATTCCGAATTCCAAATTTTTATTTTTTCCCTCATTGAAGTAGTTTTGAAGAAAATTGCGTACTAATAAAAAACATTTGCTAGTTAGTACTTTTTTTTAAATGAATTTTTGAAAAATCACCCCTGAAAAAAGGCGTTATCCCCCCTATTTCATTATTTCCAAAAAATTTTATCACCAATCGGTAGCAAATTATTTGAAGATTTTTGCGAGTTAAGAAAAAATCGTCAATGCACTCCTATTATTGTGTAAATTAACAATTCCAATTTCAACTGAAAACCAGAGTTGATGACCAGA